CCCACGAGCAGGTGAAGCGCCTGAGCGACAAAGATGTCGAAAAATACACCAAACGCTACGAGACATACGTAGGCTCAAAGGCAACAGAAAGCCAGATCGACAGCTTTATTTTTCTTGCAACCAGAGCGGTCGGAATGAAACTTAAAATCAAAGACATCGACGCTTATCAAAAAGAACTCAGAAACGACTACATCTTAAACAAAGAGCTCTCTAATCTGCCGACAACCTTGCTTTGAAGTGCGGCCGGTTTCTTGCTGCGGCCAACGCGGTGTTTATCACCACAAAACAGATTGATTTTAACTCGCATTTGGAGAGAAAGGACGAAGCAAAATTGGAAGAAATTCCGCGGCATTCCTCAACAACTGCTGAGGAATTGCAGACAAATTGTGAGTAATTTCTAAGCATTATTATATTTGCTCAGCATACACATTTGTTTCAGAATGTCTACCGAACAATCCGAGAGCGTACCTCAGGGCGAGATCCATACAGCACCTGCCGTCGATACCACACAGCAAGCGACAACTCCAACTGCAACCACGCAGCGCGTAAAAAATCCCAAGCGTGTGGCTGCTGGCAAAGCGACAGCTGAAAAAACGCGGCTGGCCCGGGAACAACAGAAAAAAGCCTTTGCTGAGCTTTTAATTGCGAACAACAAGGCAAAAGGCACCACCGGGGTACCTGATCCAGCCCCGACTACAGAAGGCGAAAGCCAAAAGTGCAGCGGAGAAAAAAATAGCAGCCTCAGCACCACCCAATGGCTTGCTGTTGGCAGCATTGTCGTTTCACTGGTCGGGATTTATTACAAATGTGAAGAGCTCAAGGCCGTATTCGGTAAAAAAAACGCCGGAGCCCGCGCGCGTTGAGCCAGAACCCACTCGCGCGGAACAGCCAAAAGGTTTAAGAAAAATGATTTAAACTTTCCCGAGCGGAATACATCAACATGCTTAAAGTTGATGTTCCCCAGATTCTCATCTCTTCAGCCGCAATTTTTGGTATCGTGCTGTTATGGTACGACTTCAACGTAAAGATTTTTCATACAGTCCGCGATCTTTTGAGTGCAACATTGTTTGAAAAGGATGAAGAAAAGAAAATCCGCGATATTTTGAACCCATACTTGCATGACGAGGATGACGAGGATGAAGAAAAGACAGATTAAATTTTGTTTTAAACTTATATATTTCTATAATATCAAACGCTACTTTGACAGACAACAAGCTTGTTAAGACCGTCATGGACGCCGCTACTCTCACTGGCTTAGCCGCTGGCATCGGCTGGGCCGCGAAAAAGGTTGTAAAAGAGAATTTCACTTCTGATCCCAGCAGCAGTGCGATGAATTACGTGAAGTTCACCGCCGTCATGGCGGGCAGCATTGCGCTCAAACAGTACCTCGAGGACCAAAAAATCCTCCCCGCGAGCGTCTGAAATTAATGATTTGAAGGGAAAAAAAATCTATTATATTGCACCATGGCAAGTATTGTAACCATCCGGGGATAAGGTTTACGAGGCTGTTTCAAGAGCCGCGAGAGAAAAAGAAAATAGCCACGATGAAGCAGTCAAGGAGTTTCTAGAGGTTTTCGATGAATTAATTCTCTACCGCAAAAAAGAAGTTTTCGACTATGCTGTGGAAAACATGCATATAAATTCGGAGTCTCTTAAAAAGAGATACGATCAAGACGTCGAGGCGTATCTAAATGATAAAGAAAAATACAAGATCGAACCCAAGAAACTTCTCGACTGGATTGCGTCCAAATCGCAAATACCTGCGTAAGACAACATGAACCTCTAGACACAGTTTTAAATCAATCATTTGAAAAAGCTTCTGATATATATAAACATGGCAAGCATCGCGATTATGGTTGGCGGGGCTGTGTTGAACGCCACAGCTTTTATCGGAGGCAATTAAATGGCCAGGGCGCTTGGCGGGGGCGATAAAGCTGCACTTGAAGAAAAAAAGCGCCATGACAAAGCTCTCGAGGCGTACCAAGCGGCTTACGTCAAATACACGCGCGACCGCACCCATCTTCTCGACTGGATTGCGACCAACGCGCAAATAAAGGCGGAGGCCAAGCAGAACTTCACCAACACTGACTATGCCTTCAAACTCTACAACCAGGCGCATCCTGACGAACAAATGATACCCCCCAAAGAGCCCAAGTTCTCAGATTTCTATCAGCCAAGCGAGCAACAGAAAAATGGTGAACTCATGTTCGTGGGCGCCGGGGCGCTCGCGCTGGGCTACGCAGCCTTCCGGTTCCTTTAAACTTTTTACGCCTTACTTATAGTAACTCTATGTACGACAAACTCGCAAAGATATACTACGGCCCCGGGGGCTACTGGAAAGGTATCGCCGCGATCAAAAAATT